GGTGAATCTGCATTATGAGACCCGGTTGAGTAAGCCCATAAAATTGCGATTTTACATTCAGGTGTGGGGTCAAGCAATCGGTTCACTAAAAATATCCTTCACATAAAAATACTATTTACTTATATTGAACATTATTATTGTTTTGTTGACTTTCATACATTTTTGAAAAAAAATTAGCATTACTAGAGTGTTCGTCAGATTAGTAGAAAGTTCATTACAGTAGATAAAGGAGTGTCTATTAAATCCGGTGTTTAACCATAGTAAATTTTTGTTATTTTTGATGTAAAATTCAATTGAAGTGATTAAAAAATACTTCCTCAATAGAAAAAGAAATGCAACAAAGTTACAATTAAGGAATAAATAATAAACCAAATTCAATACAAATTTCACTGGTTTGAAATGACGCGTAGAAAATTGTGACGTCACCTATTAGTATTTGACTGAATAGTTGACAGAGGGCGCGAGATAATATTATATTCTTGCAATGCCGTCTCTAATATAACAGCCTCGGATCGAGAATTATGACGTCACGCTAGTTAGAGACTACGGATTAATAAATATGTTATAGAATACATGGAAAACATAGCTATTCCTCAGATTTTTGGTGTGTATTTTAAAAATGATATAGTTTACATAATATACAGTTTATAAATACAATACATATATATATATATATATATATATATATATATATATATATATATATATATATATATATATATATATATATATATATATATATATATATATATATATATATATATATATATATATATATATATATATATATATATATATATATATATATATATATATACAATATCATCGAAAAAAAGGCGTCATTGTTGGCTATTAAATAAAGATCGCTGTCAAAATATGTAATATTATTTAGGGAATGTCATCGATGTTCATTTCCAAGCCAACTAGACGCCGTTTTTTTTCTCGATGATACGGTATAATTCTTACATAAAATGTAAATAACATTAGACCAATTAAAAAAAAGAAATATGATTTTTTTTTATTAAATATAATAATTAAAACACCTTTATCCTTAAAGCTTGATTTTGTATTGTAAATATACCAATTTTACTGTTATTTTATTCATATTGTATTCAGCCATCACTTAAATATTTGATATTAATTTGGTATTATAAATAATGAACTATCTATCTAAAAAACTATCTATCGAAGCTGAACCAACAATACTTGGGAGTGGAGATGCCACAATATGGATAAAATAAATATAATTGTCCAGTTTTCTTTAATACGAGCCTGGGAGAATATTTTTAAATTTATTAAAGATATTTTCAATAGAATTATCTTGATTTATAACTCATACCCACTTTTCTTGCTCTTCCGGACACTTTAGTCTGCCTAATATAATAATCCCTGCAATCAGGAACACAACAAAAATGAGGCATAGCACCAAAAACACATTCCACTTACGCTTTATTGATGAATTGTTAGAGTCTTAAAAAACATACACAAAAATTATGATAAATATAAAACTTTAACAAAACCTGTAATATTTCGTGTTTTTTTATGAGAAACAGAGTGATCATATATCTGGTAGTAGTTTATGTCACTTAAACACTAAAATAATTAGTTTTTTGCACTACAATAACAAATAACATCAAAAATTAACCGACAAAATATGAATACAGAATTTAACCGAATATCTAACTATGAACAGCTGATGAAGTAAACAAAAGTCCGTGCTCGACTGATCTATTAGAGATGGCAGTGGTTCGAGGCGTTCGAGGTTATATTTGTATTTTCAAGCTCCGTGATTTTCAAGTATTTTGTACATTTTGCGTTTGGCGTTAAATACTTGTTTTCAATTTTGTTTTATTGTACCCCTCTGTTGTACGCTCTTTATTATTTTTGTAATGAAGGGTGTTAAAGTTTGTTTTGTGAAGGGCTGTCTATATAACTCTGAAGGCTCTCCAGAAAAAGTTTTTATAACTGTTCCTTTGGATGGAAGCCGTCGAAGAGCCTGGTTTGAAGCGGCAAGACAACAATATGTCAGCAAAAGTACGAGATTTTGCTGTGAAGATCATTTCAACGTAAGTTCCTTAAGTTTTATTTTACAATTAATTTTATATCTACTTTAAAATGCATTTAGAAAAATGGTTTTTATTTACCTTGTACCTTTGTTTTAGGTTACGGAAGATATAGAAAATTATATGAGGTACAAGCTGGTTGGAGGACTGGTTTTAGTTAAAAACATGTTATTCCTCATATATTTAAAAGGTAACAAACCACCACTTTAAATTTAAAATGTGAGGTTGAGGATGAAGGTGCAGCACCGGTGGAAGAAGCAATCGAACCAACATGTAAGAAGAGACGGATAAGTGATACCGAGTTTGATGAAAATTTACCATCCACTTCAGGATCCACAACAAGACAGCGCACTATTGGCATTCAGGTCAAGTGTCATTCCTACTCTATTGGGGTTCAAACACATATTGAACAAAAAGATTTTTCCACTACTGTGTCACCAATAATGACACATTTTTCAGTAATGTGTAATATCCCTCCGAAATCTCGCCATGTTAAGATAGACACATCTGGTTTATCTATAAAATGTGACACTGCTACATCACCTCTTAAATGTCCACCACCATCAGTCAGTAAACAGATACTTTGTTTACGGGAAAGTTCTGTCAGTGTTACAAGTGAAGAAAACATTAAACCTAGTACTTCAGAGTTTGTTCCCAGTAGTGATGCCATTAGTAAAGATAAAAATAAGGACTTATTGAAAGAGTTAGAGCAACAAGCTACTTGTGAATATACTATTAAATTAATTGAGAAAAATCCTAAACGCTACATAGGTATTCCAAAACAGTGGTTCAATAGTGTATTAAACAAGCTAATTGTAAAAGCAAATTTAAAAAAGGCAGACATTTTGTTGAGTTTAATGAAAATTAGTTTAGGTGATCAGTTTGGTATATTAGGTAGTAGAGCTTCAACAATTTTTAAAAAAACTATTCCAAAAATTGAATTTTATTTAAAAACATTAGTTTTTTGGCCAAAGCCAGACATAATAAAAGTGTGTCTACCTATATCATTTAGAATCCGATATAATGAGGTACAATCTATAATAGATTGTTTAGAAATTCAAATTCAAAAGCCTACTGACAGTTTAAAACAAGCCCTAACATGGTCAGAATATAAAAAGGGCAACACAATTAAATATTTAATTTCGTGCACACCAGATGGTTTTGTAAATTTTGTATCCACAGGTTATGGTGGTAGGACTAGTGACATGACAATTTTGGAACAGTGCAATTTTTTAAAAGTCATTCCAGAAAATTGTCATGTAATGACTGATAGAGGTTTCAAACATGTAGATAGGATGTTAGCAGAAAAAAAATGCAAATTAGTTCGACCACCTTCAGTTTCATCAACTAGCAGACCCTCAAAAGAAGAGGTTATAGAATTGAAAAGAATTGCAAGCTTAAGGATCCACATAGAAAGGGTAATTAAGCGTTTAAGAGAATTTTCTTTTTTAAAACCCCATGCTGTTATTGATCATAACCTTATTGGTCATACAGATTCTGTAATTACTATTTGTTGTGCGTTAATTAATTTACAAAGTCCAATTATTAAATAAAGTAAAAAATCACTTTTGAAATTATTTTTGTTGTAGTGTTTATATAATATATTATATTAGTTTTTAGGAGGTAGGTACTATAGGTATTAGGGTAATAGTTTAGATACTTATGCTTAAAATTTCATTTATGTTTCTTTTTATAGACTGGTTTTTTGTGTTACTAGGATAATTTACATTGTAAAAACTTGCAAGGCATTTTTTTTTAAAAATAAACTATTTTGTATGTGTTGTTTGATTATTTTTATTTTGACTTAATAAACTGATTAAAATGAATCATATAAAAGATATAAAAAAAGTAGGTAATATTCTTTTGAATGTTGCAATTTTGTTTTTGTGAAGTTTCTACAGACTAGGTTCCTGAATATGTTTTTACTTATCATAAAACTTTGCTATACATAAAAAATATATTTTTTTAAAATTAATAAACAATAAAAATTCATAATTATTCAAGTACGAATTTCATTAAAAATATTATTCTTATAAAAATCCATGCAATTTTCCATCAACGATTTTAAACATTCCTCATCATAGTTAACCCAAATAATTTGAACGTTCTTTGTTGTTTCAAAATCAGGCTCTGCCACACAAAATAATGCTTTTTGCATCCCAGTAGCTAACATTTGCGCTGAACTTGACCATTGTATTTTTTTGTTATTTCTCCTTTGTTAATATAATTTTTAAGGGTTTTATTACTGATAGGGCACTTAACTTCTACCACAAAATCAGTACCCAAAGCATCTGGAGAGGCCCAAAATATTGGATAATCAGGCATTAAAATAAATCCACAATCTTTTAATTTCACGTCCAATTTTTGCTCAACTACTTTCAAAACTTTTTTCTCAAGATTTTGTCCTCTCAACATGCCAGTTGTTGGTTTTGTTTTATGAGCTCCTATTATGGTTTCAACTAACGTACCAGCTGTCTTGCATCTACTTATTTCATATAACTTTGAGGCTGTTATACGGGCATAGCGAAGCTCAAACCATAGAGAACACTTACATTGCTTTTTTGTAGCCTTCTATGCTTCTTTACATAGACTGACAGGCATTTGCTGTTTAGGAAAATTTAAAAAGTCTGTGAAATCTCCTCCCTGCCTTTGAAAACGTAGAGCCAACCTATAAATGCTTAGTTCAACCAAACTGTCTTTGAAATTTAGGGTTGAACGCAGCAGATGACAATTTATATTTTGTTGTTTCCCTTCTTCCAGAAGTTCATTTAGAAAACTTTCATCTGCTGGCTGTTCCGGGTTTGGGGTGACACTTGCTTCCCTTTCAAAAGCCTTTACCTCTACAAACTTTATAGTTGTTCCGACATTACTTAAACGAGGCTTTTTCCAATATGATGTCACTTCTGTTGGTGATGGACCTTCACTCCGACGATTAAGTCACATTAAAAAAGCTAGAGCATGCTTACAACCTCCTACAAAATGTGTATGTTAAAAAACAATTGACAAACATAGCGTATAAATAATACCTTCACCGGCTGCACAGTCTTTGCAACAAACATCTATAAAAGTTTCTTCTTCTTCATTTATTACAGTTTCAATGGTGTAGGCCTTGCTCCTAACTTTATGCTCTGGGCATATTCTGGCTTTTACAGTGCATAGCGGGCCCTTCCTTTTTAATTCTACGTAGCCTATAGCATTGTCACCATAACTTTCTCTGGTGGAACTAGAATATTCAATTACAACTACTTTAGTATTTCACCTCTCAAATTGTGATAATATATCTACATACCTTGATGCTTTTACACCAGCGATTTCGGCACTATTAAAGCGATTATCTCGTTTTAATAACTCGTGCACCATAAAAATGTCTACCCTGGGAAGATTGTTAGACGTAGCTTTTACAAACTTCTCCATACTGATAACACTATATCTAGGTCAAACGAGCACAAAGAGGAAAGAAAAAAATAACACAATGCAAAATACAAAACGCTTCGTACAAAATCCAAAATCCCACTCAACAACAAAACATAAACAAAACTGACTGACATTTGACATTGACATTAATAATGACACATGCGAAATCGCTTCGACCTTGCTTCGACGCCGGCCACCAGCGTCTCTGGTGGCAAACCGTGACACTTTTAATAGGTGACGTTAAAAATTGCAAAAATGTAAATTTGAAATTCTTATTAGTGATTAATTTTTTTAAAAAAAATGGGATGAAATTGAAGTAAAATAAAAAATACGAGTGTCATAAAATTGTATGAAGATTAATTATTTGCAATAAAAAAACTATGGTTAAACTCCGGATTCGATAGAGGATAATCTACGTCAAACAAATTTCAAAAATTACGCAGGAAACTTTTTCAGATGTCGATTTATTTTTCAAGATGAACACTAAGTAACTCTTTCAATTTTAGTAATTTAAACCTTTCTAATTTTAGCGTTGTGGTATAATTCCTATGACAAAATCAGCTCGTTTGAATTGATATACTCTTGGAAATATCTATAATGTTTTCAGCATAAGAAGTGTTCAAACTTTCTTGGATACTTGAATGTCAATTTTGGAAAGGGATTGTAAGGATATGACTTCATTACTGCCTACCAATTTTTTATTGTTTGCCTCATTTTCGTACGATTAGCACGACATCCATCGATGTTATATTTCATAGAACGCTTTTCTATCATTCTGATTTTATAGTGTTCTGTTTATTTTTATAATCTTCCCAACTGAACATTTTTATATGTCTCTTCTTTGAGTATTGTCTCCTAATTTAAAACTGTATTAAATAAAATAAAAAGCTGTTTACTAAAGTATTAATTTTGAATTAATTTTAAATTTTTCTTTAAAGTAAAATCTGATCAAAATGTTTTCTGTTGTATGAATAACACTTATCACCGAGGGCATAGGGTTAAGACATATGTAAATTAATTAATGTTTGGTTTCGATAGTGATCGTCGAGGATTCTTGGTTGCGGAGGATTAAGGGCCTGATCCTCTTCGACTGGATTCTGATTGATGGTCTTTTTGAATCTGAACTTATAAAATTGACTGATCAATTGAACTCAACAAATTGAAAAATAAAATTGGTAAAAAAAATGTTCTCTATTAATATTTATTCTTGTTAAGACAAGTTAAAAGAATGATAGGCATTTTTAATTCATATTTCATGGCAATAAGAATTCATTTTTTTAATAAGATCTATCCCTTAAATAGGTAAATAAACAGATAATTTTAAGATCATAAAGAAACAAATTAGAGGAAAATAACACCGTAAATCAAAGACAAAAACAATTCTTACTCCGCTCGAAACATTCAGTTGTTTATATGTAACTATAGGCTGACTGAAAAATATCATTCGACATTATCGACAAAAAAAATGCATTCACAGAGGTTGACTATCAGACTGATTGTTTTTATTTTATTTGTAGCTGTTTTAAATAATCCATCTCACGATATTGGGCACCATTCTCTGAAGTTCTTCGACCAGAATGTTCTTCTGCCTCGATTACGTCCTTCCTAGATTTTCCCCGCCACAGAATATTCTGCAGTAACTGGACTTGGGATCTCTTAGGAATTTCTTAAGGGTTTTAAAAAAGTCTCTTCTTTGTTCATACGGCGTAGCACCATGATATTTGTATCGAGGACAGTGGTGTCCCATATTTTCTTCGTTTCTTAGTACAGTCACTGGGATTTAGCTCACCACCTGTATTGTTGCACCAACTGAGTGACGGTCATTCGATTGGCAAACAGAATGCCTGTAACCAGCAACTGATATTTTACTATTTGCAAAAGTATGTGTGTTTCTGTAAGTGTTTGTGCGTTTCTGTAAGAAATACAATAAGAGGTTTTCTTGATTAAAATGGGTTTCTCTGTTCAAACATTTTATTACTATACCAGCAGCATTTAAATACAAACATGAACCCTTCGTAATATCAAAAAAAAACTGATATTCAGTTCTCTGTTGTATCTGTCATCTTATATATTTACAGTTTTCAATACGTTATGTTTCCATGTCAATATCTCTAATCTTCAACATTTCTTTTGTATATTCACAATTTAAACATGTTTCTCTAGGCTGTACAAACCTATGTAAATAAATAAATAAATAAATAAATCTTTATTGACTACGTATTTATACAATGTATAATTGTAGCAGGTCAGAGTAAATAACTAACAGATAAGAATTCATAAAAATACTAAGTTAGAAAAAAAACAATACACGGAGGCAAAGTGTGTTACATTAAATACATACAAGACAAACAACAATTTAAGAATTTTTGTACAAATAAATCAAATTAAATCTATATCTATATAATGATCTCCGCTGCAGTTTGGACAAATTGGTCTGGAGCTACGGTAGTTGTTCGCTATATGGCTGTGTCTGCACAATATAAAGAAATAATACGTTTACATACTGGTAAACAGAGAAAGTGACGCACTCACGTGAAAATCTTTTAAGTTTTGTCTGACAATCGAAAGACTTGAATGCACAGTGTGTTGATCCTAGACCCCATCTCAAAGGTAACAGATCCTTAATCAAAAGGTTGTTTAGAGCACTCCAATGTAACATTAAAACAATTTTCGTTAAAACAATTTTTCTTTTCAAAGGCATTTTTTTACTGCTTGGTAAAGTTTTGCAGCGATTCTCCTGTATCGCATTCTATTTGAACGATATGGTGTGCAGCCGATTTACTTTTGTGTTAATCGGCGGTTCGATGCTTTCTGCTATGCAGTTTTTAGTCAACTTACTAATTTTTTGTGTTAACTACTAATTGCCGCTGTTTATTTTTAACCACCTCACTAAAACAGGACATTTTATTGCCTATGTACCTATTTGATTGAGTAACTTCCAAACACTCTTTTGTTTTATTAAGATTTCTTTATTTTTACTGAGGTATTCGTCTAAAGACATTCCTGAACTATCAATAATCGTCCAACGTCCAAACAGCAGATATTGTTGTCATTAACTACTCTTTTATAACAGTGTCCTTTATTTTGTGTACGTTGAATTAATTTTCTGACTTTGTATGCATTCGCTCATTTGTTCTACGACTTGTGTGTGAGACAACTGTGTAGGGCACTTTTATTTGAGAGTTTAATTTTATGACGTTTGTGTAGTTGTAAATTCTTTGTTTTATTTTTATTAGACGAATCAGAGTTGCCAGAGACAAGATCTGGGTTGCTGGGGAGAGAAGACAGACACTGTCAGATTAGAGTTGCGTGGGCGCAACTAAGTTCAGGTTGACCGAATGTAAAACTTGGAAAATAAGTTCGTCATAATAATGCTTTTATTTATTCACTATTCTAATAAACAATATGCATTCCTTCGGAAACTCTCTATTTATTTATTTAGTAATGCTAAAACACTCTATTTGAAAGTCGATGAGAGAAAATAGTATGATTCATTGGCAAGTAATGTAAATATTTGCGATCCGGTAAAATTGTGATGTAAGAGGAGGCCTGGCTTGCCGGAGGCGAATCAGTAGTTGATAGGCCGGCAGGCTGTTGTGTTGTGTTTTGTCATAGAGCTGATATTTGGGGGTTGAAAGTCTTTTGACTATAAACGTTGCAAGTAATGTAAGGCAACGGGTCGTTTGACCAGAAGAAAACCTCTTGTGACGTCTTTCCTTCGAGGTTGGTCTTGAGAGTTTGAGGTCTCCCTTGTCTTCTCGATTGACACTATGCGGCGTTGGGGTAGAGAGACTAGTGAGGTACCCCAATTAGCTTATTCGATTGGGATGCGAATCTGTTTAGCGGCAGAATTGCGTCCGGGGGAAGCCTCTATACTATTTCAGGTGACACTAGCTAGTTGTTGAAGATAATTAACCAATATATAATCGAATGATATTTGAATTAGATGGAAAATATGGAATGGGATATATTGAATAGAATAAATCAGTGGCTAGGGGGCGGAGTACCCCCGGGTGAGTCTTACTATTTAACTATCAATTTTATCCAGATCAGTAAATGTTTGTTTTGTTATTTTCATGTACAATGAGAGAGTGCTTGCCAATGACCAACTAAATGGATATTTGAGGTGAATTTGCATTGTGAGACCCGGTTGAGTAAGCCCCTAAAATTGCGATTTTACAATTAGTCTTTTGATTTTTTAAATAATATACATGTTAGATTAGGGACAGATAATTAGTCTTTTTACTTAAATTAAACCACTATATTCCTCAAAATACGTTTTATTCCGCTTAGAAATTCGTGAACAGTTCGAAAGTCGATCTAAACTGACTAATCTTATAACAATGATGCAATATTCGCAATATTGCACGAGCTTTGTTTTTTGAAGAAGGGCCACGCTGCGGCGGTCTCGGAGATCAGGTTTTTTTTTTTTTTTGTTTCGGGGGTGGAAAAAATCTTTTAAAGACTGCACGAGCTAATCCCCGAAGAGAGGGAAGACTCTCGTGACTGTGTGGGATTCAGACAGCTGTTACCCACTAAAACAACCACCTCCAGGGATTTCAGCGAACCAGAAGATTGGCAGCTATATAATCCGGGTATTCATATCAGGAGAAAAGGGACGAAGCCATGGGCGCCCTAAGGCGTGTTACGGTTGGAAGAGAAACTTAGGGTCGACTGGGAGTTTAGTCCAGAAGAATGGTTTTGAGGTGACGGTACTTTGTATTCAAGTAGTCTTCAGGGTTGTAATCGAATATCTCGAATGATGGATTTTGTATATTAGCCATGCTCCCAAAAAGTTTGAGAGCACGGTCTCTAATATATTTCGAAACTGGGTCTATACGAAGGTCTTTACGTATATCTTCATTGCGTATATACCAGGGTGCACCGGTCATATAACGCAGGGTTTTATTTTCACAGATTTGTATTCTGCGGATTTGGTGATCGGATGCTCTGGACCAGACAGTCGAAGCATACAAGGTTTGGGGACGGATTACTGTTTTAAACAGCAAGACTTTGTTGTTCAGTGAAAGTGAACTTTGTTTGCGGAGAAGGCCGTGAAGACTGGCATAAGTTGCACGAGCCGTGGCTATTTTATTCGTGATGTGTTGCTTCCAGGAAAGCTTTTTGTCTAAGGTGACTCCGAGGTACTTGGCGGTATGCCCCCAAGTAATCT